AACTCCAAATCAATGCAGGAAATCTAACAAGAGCATTCCCAGCAGGTAGCTTTAAGCCTCTTTTCAAGACAGCCAGAGAAAACCCATCACCTCTCTCTAGGTAATTGGTTCTGTTGTTGAACCGCTCTTACTGTCAAGATAGTCTTTCAGATTTCATTTGAAATTTACTCTCCTATAAGTTAAAACAATTTGACCTGGTCCTACTCCCTGGTGCAACAGAAAAAAAAACCTGCCCCCTCCTCTCTGGGACAGTCCTTAAAATATTTAGAGTGTAATTATGTCACCCTTCAGACTTCTCTTCACCAGGCTGACCATGTCCAATTCTTTCAACCTTCCCTCAAATATTTTGTTCATCCATGCTGCCCATCTCTGGACCTTCCCAAGTATTGTGATGGAAAATGGTGGGCTTTGTTGGCAGCATGATGAAATTTGCAATGCACTGTAGGTAAAAAAAAAAAAAATGGCATCTACTTGGGAGCCAGTGTGGTGTAGTGGTATGACTCCAGAGACCAGGGTTCAAAACCCTGCTCAGCCATGGGACCACACTGGGTGACCTTGGCAAGTCATTCTTTCTCAGCCTCAGATGAAGGAAATGGCAAACCCCCTCTAAATAAATCTTACCAAGAAAACCCTGTGATAGGTTAATCTTAGGGTTGCCATAAGTCATAAACTACTTGAAGGGTTCATTGCACAATGTTACTTAAGGGATGCAGTGGCTTAGTGGTTAAGATGTCAATTCTGATGATCAGAATATCAGAAGGCTGGCAGTTCGAGGCCCAGGTGCTGCATGATGGGGTGAGCTCCTGTTACTTGTCCCAGCTTCTGCCAACCTAGCATTTCGAAAGCATGCAAATGCAAGTAGATAAATAGGTACCACTTTGGTGGGAAGGCAACAATATTCTGTGCAGTCATGCTGACCATATGAGCATGGAGTCGTCTTTGGACAACGCTGGATCTTCGGCTTAGTAATGGAGATGAGCTCTGCTCTCTACAGTCGGTTATGACTAGACCAGGGGTAGGCAACCTTTCCCCTTTAAAGGCCGAGGGACTTCAGCTCCCAGAAGCCTCAGCCATGTTGGCCAATAGTCCCATGTTGGCCAATAGCTCCTGGGATTCTGGGAGCTGAAGTTCTTCGGCCCTTAAAGGGGAAAGGTTGCCTACCCCTGGACTAGACATTCATACCAAGGGACTACCTTTAACTTTATCTTGCTTAGATGCTACTTGGTTATGTGTATGTAACTGAGTAACTGATATAGAATATCATTTATTAATTCAGGAGTTCAATATGGATGCAATCTAGGTTGAATGGGAATATGATAAAATAACTATTTAACTGTTGTTGTTTGCTGTCAAGTCAGAGACCTTATGAATCAGTAACCTTCAAAAGCCCCACCATCCTGTTCAGGGCTTGCAAACTCAGGGCTATAGCTTCTTTGATTGAATCAATCAATCAATAAGTCCCACTTTTTTCCTATTGATCTCCACTTGACCAAGCAGCAGCATCTTTTCCAAAGTTTAACTGTAGTTGGTTTTAACATACATTGTGTGCCTAATTTGCAATTCTCCAGGTGCTTGGAAGTAGTATCGGAGACCTCTTCATCTTTACATTCCCCAGGAAAAACTCCTGAAGAGTCCTTCAAGGAAATTAAAAGCTTTTAAATATGACATTTTCCAGGGATTTGCTTATACATATAAATAACTATATATTACCAAATAATTTGCCCTGGAGCAAATTAGCTACTCAAAGTCAAACAAATACCTTTCCATCTTAGGTGCTTCAGGGCTAGCGGGCTCTATCCTTTCAGCTCTGTGACAAATCTGTTCTCTGAATCCATCCTCTTTTTAATCTAAATGTCAGGTAGGAAATTAAAACCCTGCTGAAAAGGAGTGTATTACCAGTGTTTTATTAGATCACAAACAATTTAATAACCAGATAGAGGGAGAAGGTCATTCCGTTGTCAGCCAGGCTTATCTCATAAATTAGGCATCAGATGGTTCTCTTTTTATTCCTCACTGCCTCTGTCACCTCCTTCCCCCCATTCACAAAAGCATCTTTCACCAAATAGAATTATTAGGTTTGATGAAGGGCCTGTGTCCATGGCAAACAGAAAAAAGCAGATGAAAAGAGAGAGCGGCGAAATAAAATTATTGCCTGGGAATGTACGAAAGGGATGGGGTGGCACTCTTAAAAATACTTACTGTGCCTTTACCCCATTAGTGGTGAAGTAAAATGCCAAGCTAACCAAGGACATAGTTGCTTGATGAATTCATATGGCACTCTCTCAAAGTCAATAAATGCAGGGGCAAGGAAAGGGGATGGATGGAGATAAAATATTGATTAGGAATGGGACAGGTTGGAGTGGAAAAGAGGCAATCCAGGAAACAAACTCTTTCCTGGAATGAAGATCATCATGGTGTACTGTGTTTAGTATCAGATTAGGGACCAGAGTTTGAATTCCTGCTCAGCCATGGAGGTCCACTGGATGAACTTTGTTATTTCATACTCTATCAAGCTGAGAGAAAGACGATGCCAAACCTCTGAAAAATCTTGCCAAGAAAACTCCAAGATAAGTTTGTCATATGTCAGAATCAACTTAAAGGCACATAACAAGTACAAGAAAGATATATTGACCAGTGAGGTCAATATATGAGGAGGTGGGAGAGGGCTTTCCCAGCTGTGGCATCCCAATAATGGAATTACCTCCCCCTGGAGACCTGATTGGTGCCAACATTGGCTTCATTTTGGCACAAAGTAAAAGCATGACACTTCACTAAAACTTTGGAGCCTTGCTAATTTACTCCAAACATTCTGACACTCATGGTTTAAAACTGTAACACCTTTTAAAAACTATTTTAACTTATTGGTATATTTGCTGTTACTGTCATGTGCCTTCAAGTTGTTTCTGATTTCTGACTCTAAGGTGAACCTATCATGTGGTTTTCTTGGCAAATTGTTTAACATATTTGAAGATAGCTAGCTAGATGATAGATAGATTGCTTTTGTAATAAGAACTTGACCTTGGGGAATTTATAATTAACTCAAAAATAATAAGTAGGATTGGGACCCAATGTGTACAGGGAGAAGGAGGGAAGAGCCTTTGCAGAGATGGTATATTTTCCAAAAGAATGGTATTTTTATTAAGAGGGAAAATTAAATCAACAAGCAAGCATACACATACACACAGAGGCTACATGAAATCTGTAAGAAAGGTTTCACACACAAAATAGTTACCTAGAAACTCTGCATTCCTTGTAGAAAGATGTTGCTTTCTTATGGAGTAAAGTTGTGATGGAACAGCTGAGGGATACTGGCTAGGAATTTTCAGGGAGTGCGCCTGGGAAGATGCACCCTGGGACTGAGGCATCCCCATGCCTCGATCCTGCGGCGCTCCGTTGTCGCCCCTGGAAAGGAGTGCTAAAATAGCGCTCCTTTCATATGTCGCCGAAAGTGCACCGCAAAAGGTTGTGGTGCACTTTCGGTGACTTTTCCGCCACAGCGTGTCCGGACTCTGCAGTGGGAGGTCCTCCTAGGAGCGCTGGCCATGTGGACGGCCAGCAGCTCCAAGGACAACCTCGGGAGGGGGAGGGGGCGCTGAGCGTGCGGCTGCCCCTCCCCTTCCCTGTGCCAAAGATGGCCCAATAAGCTGTCTGCTTAGGCTCTGAGTGAGATTCTTCCTTCCCTTCCAAAACCAGCTCACAGAACACAGATTTGTGAGGTCTTAATATAGGCTGAAGATAGCCTGGAGCAAAGATTATTATTGTATATCAAAGAATCCCAGATTACTACTCTTTGAAGTAGGCAATTTCCAAGGAGGGGAGATGGGATGTTGATATTATCTCATTCGTAGCCAGTTGTAAATCTCTGCATCTCCAGAATTTAGAGAGTGTAAATGTCCTGCTTTGCAGTGCCTAAGCCTTGCCCTTTTGATCTGCAAATTGTTGTAGGTGCAGATGTGGCCTTTCAGGTGCCTTACATTATGAGCTCACCTTGGATCCATGAAGGTTGGGCTCCTCCAGTCTAGGGCCATGGCAGGGACCCACTTGACATACAGGACAAGATACAAATATTTGACTGAATAACTGAATGAATGACACAGGAATATTCTGTTTGGCTGCACATTTATGTACACCTTCTTATTAAACATAGCAAGATCTACCACCAAGTAATCATACACTGAATTGCATGGCCAAACTGTTATCCTAAAAAAACGTATTAAAGAGTGGTGAACTTGAGAGCCAACATGACTCTGGAATCAGGATTAGATTCCTTGCTGAGCCATGGAAACCCAGTTAGTGACCTTGGGTGAGTCACACACTCTCAGACACAGAAAATCCTGTGATAGCTTCCTCTTAGGATCGCCATCAGTAAGAAGTCAAACCTGAAGGCACTCAGCAACAATAATCATATATCTCAGCTCCCTAAGCTGTTCCTCATGAACCTTGGAATCCAGACCTTCTCATCTTCACGTCCCTAAGCTAAATATCATTAAACAAGCAGCTCTTTCATGCTGAGTACAGTGAGTTATGTTTGTGGTGAAGGCCTGGGAGTGGTGTGTGTGTGTGTGTGAGAGAGAGAGTATTCCCCAGACTTATTCTTAGCACTATGTGAAAGTTGAATGATCTCCTTTGAAACTTACCCAGAGCACAAATCCAGAGTTCTGCAGATTGCAGGTTGATGGGTCAGGCAATGGACTTTTTCAACCAAGAGGTGACTGACTGGGCAGAAGCAGGCAGTAGCTTGTGTCAATCTTCCCTGTACCAATGGCTACAGAAGCAGATTAGCCAACCTGGCTAATATTTGCAGAGCACAGCAGATCTAAGCTATAAAGCTAAACAGAATTTTGTTCCTACTCCATCCAACACCTCTGTTTTATTTCTTTGTTATTTTTGTTGTGTACCTTCAAGTCATTTCCACCTTATGGTGACCCTAAGGCAACCCTAATATAGAATTTTCTTAGCAAGATTTGTTCAGAGCATGAGGCTGAAAGTCACCTGGTGGGTTCCTGAGCAGGGATTTGAACCTTGGTCAAACCCTGGAGTTATAGCCCAACACTCAAACCACTATGTCATGCTTGCTCATTTCTGTATTCCTTCTTTATTGAGTCCCAGCTTTGACCCAATGGATTGCAGTAATGATATTCAATAATAAATACAGTTCTATGTTGAGGTCCACATTGTATATCTATGTCCTCACTGCAGGAAGATGCAAGAGATTACAATAAGGAGTTAACACATTTCTTTGGAGAAACAATGGTGGAAATCTTCATTTCACATAGCAATGGTAAATGTGAATACAGGAAACTCTGTTCTCACAATTCATTCATGGAGCCACATATAGATTCCAAAATTAAATGAGATCTTCAGCAGAGAGTACTATATGACCTGATGCAACATTTAAGCAACTGCTAACCCATTCATAGACCCTTAGGTGCTCATGTTTATACATCTTGCACCATGCAGTTTGGATAGATTCATATGGAGCCCACTTTGACAAACTTTTGGGAACTTCTTGACTGGTGTGAACACCAATTTATTTATTTATTTAAAAAAAACTATGCTGTTTTATTTGCTTACAGCACCATTCATGGAAATGCAGCCATATTTTTAAAGTTTAATTTTCCTTTGCTTTTGCAAAAGGTACACAGTGCAAGATCCTCTGCTAATAAATTCCAGAGAATGCAAGTAGTTCAACATCCTGAGCTTGCATAAATCCTGCGTATAGGATTGAATCTAGCAGATACAAAGCACAAACATACATAAAAAAGATAATGGCTAAAATAAATTGTAGCTACAGAGAGGGAAGCAAGCCACCAAGAAGAAACACATGCTCTATTGAAATGAATATGGGTGACATTGGGGAAAGTGTACCTCTACCACATTGACATGTATATAGCACCAACAGCATGCTATGTCATTTAGAAGCTAATAAGTGATGCAGGGCTGGTTGATATATCTGGTAGTGCTTGCCCAATCATCTATTTCTACAACTTCCAGAAACATTGTGGCCTAGGCTGCATCTGTACTTCAAAAATAATGCAGTTTA